AAGTTTTATCTTACCTTTTAATTGTTTTTCTACTTTTTCATACATTTTTTAGGCAGTTAATATCGGAATAATAACAATGGCTTTTGAACAAACTAGACAATTGCAAAACAAGGATCAAACATTATGTTGAGTAATTACAAAGAACTCTCTTTTTTGCCCTGCCATTAACTTTCTACAAATAAAATGTTTTACAGATTAAATGCTTTATAAAGAAAAAAATTTGTCCTGCTCTTGCAAGAAAAAATTAGTCAAAAAATATATGACTTTAACTGTACAGAAAAAACTTTATCGTATTTGTTGGATTTACTGCCCTGAAAAAATGTTGAGAAATGGATCTGGTCGTCTGCGAGTGCGGTATAGGAAAGTGAAAAAGAGTTTGGGGACGGCTAGGATAGTGCGGTGGGAATGGAGGAGAATTTTTTGGACTTATGTGATCGATGTGGGACGTTGGAAACTGGTAGAGTAAAAACCTCAAGGTTAGCTGAGCAGTCCAGAAGTCATCACGGAACAGGTTTTTTTCAGTTGCAATAAAGTGATTTCTGGTCCCGAATGGTCTTTCAATAAAAGGAAACTCTTTTTCAGATTTCATTGTTCCAAATATTATCATATCAAAAATTCACAAGTTTCTCTCTGACATTTTGTCTTCCTCTTATTTGTCCAACAGTTACTTTCGAAATAAACGTGTTTTTGTGCGCTTTCAAATTGTGAATTACTACTACGCAACAGCAACATCGATGAAACAGATTCTTAAATAGGAGTTATGTTTTCGACGACACAACAGCAGAAACAAAAAAAAAATAGCAAAACAAAAAAAAATTGTAGGGAACAAAACAAAACAACGACAACAACAGCAAAAGAAAAGACTATAATTTTTAGCCGTTAAATTTTTTTAGCTGCTAAACTCTCTTAGAAAAAAAAATTACTTTTAAACAATTGTTAATGAGGTTGAAGTTCTTAGGCAGCTAAACTGTTATTTCTTATTGATTTAATTTATTTAGGTTGTTGTTTTTATCTTTATGCTACATTTTTTTCTATTTATTCAAATTGCCAAAAAATTGTTTTGTTTTTTTTGTGTATTTTGAGTATTTCATAGTATTGAAAAATTTAGTTTATTTATTGATTGCTAAGTAAAAACAAGAATTGTTTTAAGTGGAAATTGCAAAAACAGGCTGTCGCAGTTCTTCAGTAATGAAAAATAAAAGATGACAGAAGAAAAAACACCTTTTTTTTCTGAGGTATTAAAAAGTTGATGAGAAAAAAATTTGTTGGTTATTAGAGTTCGCTAATGCAAATTATCTGTTGTAAAAGAGCTGGAATGCTAAACATCTAAAGAAAGAACTTAAAACTTACAGAGTTCAAGGTTTTCTGATTGTCAACATAAACTTTATTCCAAATTTAGGGAATAACAAAGTGTTTTCCAGTGGGAAAACGATGAGCAAAGTAATGGGATAGGATACAGTTACGACATTTTTGCAGTTCATAATTTTTCAACAATTGCCTTCTTTCTCTTTATCTTTTTTTTCACCATTTTTTTCGGTATTTCCTTTTATGTATCTTTTTTAGGGATGCAGTCAAATA